AAGCTACAGGAAATGACAACATCTCACCCAAACTACTACGAAAGAAAGTTAACCCTAAGAAAGCTACAGGAAATGACAACATCTCACCCAAACTACTACGAAAGAAAGTTAACCCTAAGAAAGCTACAGGAAATGACAACATCTCACCCAAACTACTACGAAAGAAAGTTAACCCTAAGAAAGCTACAGGAAATGACAACATCTCACCCAAACTACTACGAAAGAAAGTTAACCCTAAGAAAGCTACAGGAAATGACAACATCTCACCCAAACTACTACGAAAGAAAGTTAACCCTAAGAAAGCTACAGGAAATGACAACATCTCACCCAAACTACTACGAAAGAAAGTTAACCCTAAGAAAGCTACAGGAAATGACAACATCTCACCCAAACTACTACGAAAGAAAGTTAACCCTAAGAAAGCTACAGGAAATGACAACATCTCACCCAAACTACTACGAAAGAAAGTTAACCCTAAGAAAGCTACAGGAAATGACAACATCTCACCCAAACTACTACGAAAGAAAGTTAACCCTAAGAAAGCTACAGGAAATGACAACATCTCACCCAAACTACTACGAAAGAAAGTTAACCCTAAGAAAGCTACAGGAAATGACAACATCTCACCCAAACTACTACGAAAGAAAGTTAACCCTAAGAAAGCTACAGGAAATGACAACATCTCACCCAAACTACTACGAAAGAAAGTTAACCCTAAGAAAGCTACAGGAAATGACAACATCTCACCCAAACTACTACGAAAGAAAGTTAACCCTAAGAAAGCTACAGGAAATGACAACATCTCACCCAAACTACTACGAAAGAAAGTTAACCCTAAGAAAGCTACAGGAAATGACAACATCTCACCCAAACTACTACGAAAGAAAGTTAACCCTAAGAAAGCTACAGGAAATGACAACATCTCACCCAAACTACTACGAAAGAAAGTTAACCCTAAGAAAGCTACAGGAAATGACAACATCTCACCCAAACTACTACGAAAGAAAGTTAACCCTAAGAAAGCTACAGGAAATGACAACATCTCACCCAAACTACTACGAAAGAAAGTTAACCCTAAGAAAGCTACAGGACATGACAACATCTCACCCAAACTACTACGAAAGAAAGTTAACCCTAAGAAAGCTACAGGACATGACAACATCTCACCTAAACTACTACGAAAGAAAGTTAACCCTTAGAAAGCTACAGGAAATGACAACATCTCACCCAAATTACTACGAAAGAAAGTTAACCCTTAGAAAGCTACAGGACATGGCAACATCTCACCTAAACTACTACGAAAGAAAATCAGCGCTTAGAAAGCTACATGACATGGCAACATCTCACCCAAACACTACGAAAGAAAATTAACCCTAAGAAAGCTACAGGACATGGCAACATCTCAACTAAACTACTACGAAAGAAAGTTAACCCTCAGAAAGCTACAGGACATGGCAACATCTCACCCAAACAATACGAAAGAAAATTAACCCTAAGAAAACTACAGGGCATGACAACATCTCACCCAAACTACTACGATTAGCACAGACCATCATCAAACCTATCACTACACTTGTAAATCCCCCCCCCCCTTCTTAGCAGCAACATTTCCAGACACACACAAACAATCTACCCACTCCCAACTCAGTGACTTCTTCGTTGGTGTCTTTGATCCTTACCTCTTTGCATTCAGAGCAGGGTTTTGATGCCAGACGGCATTATTGCGAGTCATTGATGAATTTAAAGGGAGGTTACTGAACACGAAACACCAGAGTGCAATGGGCCAGGTATCCTTAATCAGCGACCTGCTGTTGCCGGCGTATTTGGTTTTTATAATAAATAATTTGTCTTATTGCTTGAAAAAATTCAAAATATTTTTCTAACAACCAATGCAAAAATTGAGACAGTTATTTGTACTAAATTTGTAAGTATAATTGGTCGTGTAATTGTGAGTACTGATATCATTTTATCCAAACTTTTAGTCAAATGATTATGCGTATTACAATATCAGTAAGTTTAGTCATTTTCATAGATTTCGTTTGGTCTTGATAATTGACCATTTCAGCTTTACTGTCCATATCAGGTGCGTGTAATCCAGGAGAGGGAAAACAAAACGAGACCGGCCCAGGAATCGAACCAGGGTCTTCCAAACTCTAGATTTGTGTTCTAAACAATTGATGTAAATGGTGATCGGCAGTTGTGTTGAACATTACGTCGTGAAAAATGAGAGAATGTGTTCATCATCTATAAGCACATATGCATTACATATGTACATAATGTCAGTGTATATAACTGCATTTATATAAAATATCAGTGTGTGTTTGCTAATAACGGAAATTACAGACAATTTCACATTTAAATCAATCATTTTCATGGCGATGTCGATAAATCGGAAACCTGGGTCGACTTCAATTTCCGGTTAAAATCAATCAAACACATCGTTGTATTAAGTAACTACATGAAACTACATAGCCATAAGGGAGCCTTGCTTTGAATTGACTTGGTGTGGAAAAGTTAAGCCGTAGTCCGAATTATTCTGACGTCTTATCGACTTTTTTCATATCGGTCTGTCGTCGATTAACGTCAGAACTCCGGCCCTCTATAATATGCGGGAAATATGCGACCCGCGCCCGGAGCGCACTTCAAACTGAGATTTTAGAAACAAATCGTCACTTTCACACACATGTCGCCCTTGGATCGAAAGATCTATTCTTTATGCACTAGGTGGTATTAATAACATGTTTCAAAGATCATTACGAAAAGTATTTTCCAACGTTTTCTATACCAACCCATGTTTTTAATGGAAATTAGGCCATGAGCAATATCACATGACTTGACGAGATGTCGCGTTACCGAAGGTATTTCCTAACGTTATGACGTAGGCCGGCGAGAGTTTAGTCACGTGGCATTAGAAGGCGGGGCTATAAAAAAACTAGAGTAAAACGGAGTAAGTTTGACAAAATATGTTTTTAGTGACTGTATTGGTTGTTTGAGGCATGTTATGTATGTTCATCTTGTGCATAAAGAAAAGATCTTTCGATCCAAGTGCGACATGTGTGTGAAAGTGACGATTTGTTTCTAAAATATCAGTTTGAAGTGCGCTCCGGGCGCGGGTCGCATATTTCCCGCATATTATAGAGGGCCGGAGTTCTGAAGTTAATCGACGACAGACCGATACGAAAAAAGTCGATAAAACGTCAGAATAATTCGGACTAGTTAAGCCGGTCCTCATTTCTTTAAGAAATCCTGTTATAGATTAGCAAATTGCATTTTCACTGGATTGCCTACTTTGATGTTTTTATCCAACGAGTTGACAATTTGTGTTCTTCATGAAACAAGATTTATTAAGAAAACTAATTAGCAACGGCGGTATTCACCAATTCATTTCATTGTACTACAGGTCATTATATTACAATGGATATGGCACGTGCATTGACAGTCTGCATTTGCATATATTGAGTAAACGTCACATAAACAAGTATTGACTGATAAAAGCCTGTATTTTAATAATGAAAATACATTTTATTATTACTAGTCCAAATCCGTCTCCATAAGGCCTTGGTCGTTGCAAGGAAGTTAAACCAAAAAACAAACAATATCATTCCAAATTATCGATCAAATCCATAGCACTTTTAATGAATTTTTATTACTTATGCACAACCCTATCTTTTTGCAGAGCGCTGGTAGTATTAAACACACTGGGTCATTAAAATTGCTTCTTTGGATAGCGCATGTAACTTTTAAACTGAATATACATTGGACTTTAAAATCTGGAAAATAAAGATCGTATATACCCCCTTAAATTTGAAATATAACACTTTTTTTTACATGACCTCGATGTTTACTTACAATATAACCAACACTAACGACTCACTACTTAGCTGTATGATAAGCTTGACGACTTTGATTTGCCGGTCGTGAACTTTCATATTCTTGATAGCCACGTCCCTGCTTTGCAAACTACGGTGTTAAGATGTCACAGTTGATTCGACATTCTCAGACTAGTTCCGAATATCAACCTTTTCATGATAGGTGTCGAATGGTTACGACGGACAAACTTACAATACAGGGTTTGGTGAGATGCTGGTTGATGCCAACTTCACACAAGTTTTAGGGTCGCTGTCACGATCTCGCTGGGACATTTTCTATTTCGGTGTGCCATATGAATATTGATTTGTTTCCTTTTAATGTTCAATAATGTGGCTTGGGGTGTCGTTGTCACTACCTCACTTCTCTCTTTGAGAACGTTATATATCTCGGATTTGAACCAGATTTACCCGGCGAGTGTCAGCGATGAAGCAGAAGATACCTTCTCGCCCAATCACATGATCTTATTCTCCTAGTGGCTTTAAAAGCTCTCTGTAACGTGTGAAATCGTTCCTGTCTATATTTGCCCTAGTATCATCATGAATTTTGACTAAAATAAAAAAAGAAAATTATTTGTTTTTAATACGAAATGTGTTTTCCTTTCAAACTGTATTCAGGTAATTGGAGCTTAGTGTAGAGGCTTCATAACGGGATATTTCATACTATTTAAACAATATTCACTATCTTCCGACCCACTTTTTATTTGCTAACGCATCAGGTAAGATTTCTGACTTTAATTGTCTAATCTCGATATTACAAATATATGCGTTGTCAAATTATATCAGAAACAGATTCACAATTGTTAGTCTACCAAAAAAATGACAATTGAAACACTGACCTACACGTCAAGGTGTTGGCTAGTCTCATGCCCAGCAAAGATGTTTTCCTTACTCTCTTCTTTTTGCTGGGTAACCTGAATGACAGTTGCAACACTGACATACACGGCAAGGTGTTGGCTAGTCTCATGCCCAGCAAAGATGTTTTCCTTACTCTCTTGTTTTTGCTGGATAGCCTGAATGACAGTTGCAACACTGACCTACACGTCAAGGTATTAGCTAGTCTCATGCCCAGCAAAGATGTTTTCCTTACTCTCTTGTTTTTGCTGGGTAATCTGATATATGATTTACTTGAAGGTAACACAAGCGTCGCAGGAATGGTGGGCGGAAACAGATTACCTTGGAACTGGTTACGACTTGGCCTCTTCTTGGCGCTGTTCACTCAGTGTCTGGCCAAGAAACTGGAATGCATGCCGGCCTCCTCTGACCAAAAACGGTATACCTTCAACGTAGGTAAGTGTAAAGAAAGTAATTTAAAGTTATTTTTGGGTTTACATATCGGTAAAACAGACATTGTACATCTGGTATGCTTACCAACTCCTCAGTTTTCAACAGATCTGGGTCCTTTTTTTTTAATGTTTAAAACTGTGGTTATATTTCCAACGAAGTACCATTTACTAGAATGTATAGGCAAAACCGCGAATTTCTTAGTTCTGGTTTTGCTTGCCATATTCATATACTTAAAATTCATTAGGAAACTGCAAACAAGTTCAAGTTCAATTTTATTTATTACCTAAAGCTTTACAGCTCATCAGTTGTACAAATATACAGTGCAACATAAAGTAAACAACTAAACAACAACACACATACACACCACTTCCACACTTACTCCTAGAAGTGTAGAGACATATTTCTTGCACTGCTAAAAATAATGTTATTTTAAAATAATAAAATAACATTTGATGATAAGGACATATCAATGTATAACTGACATACATGGTGTCGTCTTCCACTAACAATTCTTACATATTTGGCCAAATTAACGATTTCTTTTTTATTTTCTGTGGACAACACCTTTTTAAATTTATACATACTTGTATAAAAAATTGATCTGCTTTTAAATACAAAATCCTGTCATCCAATAAGTACATATATTTCATCAGATTTCATATAATATCAATATTTTTACATCAGTCTACTTTTTTTAATTCCATTACAATTATTGATATAATGAAGTCAGTTGCAGCAGTTCCTTCTGTTTGAAACCAATAATGTGCTGAGAGTGACTTGGTGAGTCGTCATTATTGTACCTTCAAGTTTATAAATGATAATAGTCCACATCTTTTAGAGCTTACCGTTAAATATATCTAAAGAAAAAGGGAAACACTTATCACTTAATATTGATATTTATAAACTCATTTTCATTATCTGTAAGGGATCATTCTTGATATTTGAAGATGCGTAATACGTATTTCTTTCCTAGGCAGTGTCCCGAACTTAACATGCTTTATTTCGTATCAGTTTTTCGTGGGGGCTCGTGGTTTTCATAGTTTTAGTAGGTCTTATGCTCCAGTTATCCTATATCTGTTTCCGTATCAATTTCGATTGCAAGTTTCGTTGCAATGATGCTGAGGTGTGTATTGTGCTTTTTGACCAAACAAGCCATGCTCATTGCAAGTTTTCTGTCTGTGAAGGTGTTCTGAGCTCTCAGCCGGGACACTCCTTTCAGAGCTTTATGACAGCACATATCAAGAACAACGAGACGGCAGTAAAAAACTGCTTCGAGTCGCCGTCTGTCGTCAACATGGACATCGCTCAAGACCTAAAAATCCCGGACTCAGGGTGGACAAAAATCAAGAACAGGATGAACATCCGTAAGTATATAGAGGGGATTTACAGCAGAATTTAAAAAGTTAAAATTACAAGTCACAATGCGGGTGGGTCTGCTCGATAGTCCATAAACACACCAAAGACAATGTAATGCATCAATGTCATATATTACGAGCAAATGTCATGTTCACATGATCAGTTGTTACAATACAGTCTGATAATGTTATATGTGAGTTGTAATCTTTAATCTGTTAAAGATATACTTTGATGACATCTGCAATGTAATTCATCACCCAAATGTGTTGTGCATTGTGCAGTGCCTGATATGCAGCACATTCGGTTATCTTAATGCTGCTTATACATGTAAACTATTGAACAAAACATGATCTTACCAGGGCTTTCTACCTACGTTATTAACCTTGGTATTTCTATCAGTGGCTGTCGTTATAAGCGCACGGGACTACATACTTGGTTGTTACTGCCCACGTGTTGTACTAAAAGTGACGCGAGGAATCTTTATTTTCAATTCGAATCGAGTTTGAGCGTCAATTTTGTCTCTGCGTGTTGATGATAGGGTATCATTTCGGTATAACATAACAACATATCTATTTAGTTGGTCAGTGTCACGTAGCACACGTGAAGGATGGGACGGATGTACCGCGGTAATAAGTTTAGGCAGTTTAACCCATGCAATTCGACACCGCGGTAATAAGTTTATCAGCTTAGCCTATACAATTCGACACCGCGGTAATAAGTTTAGTCAGTTTAACCTATGCAATTCGACACCGCGGTAATAAGTTTATCAGCTTAACCTATACAATTCGACACCGCGGTAATAAGTTTAGTCAGCATAACCTATGCAATTAGACACCGCGGTAATAAGTTAAGTCAGCTTCACTTATACAATAAGACACCGCGGTAATTAGTTAAGTCAGTTTAACCTATCCATTTAGACACCGTGGTAATAAGTTTAGCCAGCATAACCTTTACATTCAGACAACGCGGTAATAAGTTTAGTCAGCATAACAATTACAATCAGACAACGCGGTAATAAGTTTAGTCAGCTTAACCTATACAATAAGACACCGCGGTAATAAGTTTAGTCAGCTTAACCTTTACAATTGGACACCGTGGTAATAAGTTTAGTCAGTTTAACCCATGCAATTCGACACCGCGGTAATACGTTAAGTCAGCTTAACCTATACATTTAGACACCGCGGTAATAAGTTTAGTCAGTTTAATCTATACAATCAGACACCGTGGTAATAAGTTTAGTCAGCTTAACCCATTATATTAGACACCGCGGTAATAAGTTTAGTCAACTTAACCTATCCATTTAGACACCGCAGTAATAGTTTAGTCAGCTTAACATATGCATTCAGACACCACATCAATACATTCATATAATATTTGTACTTCTAATCAACAGTTACAGCCAAAACGTTCTATGAATTGTCAAAAACACAATGCGAAAAGAAAACATTTAATACAATGGATGGACATAAAGGGTAACATTGATCGACATAGCTGGTACTCTTTCACCCATTTATCCAGGTACGACGTCAAAGATTTACATATATTGTTAATTTATTACAAACATCACGACTAATTAGTGCATTCATGGTAACTCATACAGAATAATTCGAAATAAAAACTCATTAACAAAAACATGCACTGACTGTCACAACATAATGCATGTCAACGATTGTCCCTTTCACTGTTCGAAATATCACTTGATACTTTAATAATTAATTTGTCGATTTGGAGATTACCTTGTTAAATTTATAATTGTGTTGAAATTGAGCAAGCAAAAATGAAAAAATAAATAAACGAAAACGTCCAATACCCAGGGAACATTAAAATTCATAGAAAAACTTCAAAATCAATGAAGCTGTCGATGTAGTATTATTCAACACCAGTGTGTAAGAGAACATCCGGTTGTCATCTGTCAGCCTTATCGCTAGGGAGTCAATGTCAGACGTACCACCATTGTATCACATGTCAGTCTTATTATCCAAAATCGTATCCCATGTCAGCATTATTGTAACTTACTACATGTCAAAAATACTGGCATCTTATCGCATGCATGCCAGCCTTTTCGCAATCAAATCACAATTTAACCTTACATGTGAATAAAGTTACAAATTTAACATACGAATATTCCTTTTATTGACGTCGATATGTACTACAATCTGTAAATAACTAAATATTGACAAATACAGTGTCAAAGTAGATATATCGATTTCATTCATGACAAAACCATCATTCGTACTCAAAATCAATAAAACTAGGGATATATGAACAAAGGAAAGATTAAAATGGAGACCCATGAAAATACAAAGAGAATAAGCCCAGGTGTTCCGGAAGGGTAAGCGTATTCTGCTTCGTCGATAACAACCGCCATCAATCTAAGTCAAATCTAAGTAATGTCACATCCTCACACCGAGAACTCGGGTAAGTGACAACAAAACCACAAGGCGCGGTAACTAGCATAATCAAAAACATCGACATTCACTTAAATTCACGGTTTAAAAAGAAAACTCATCAGTATAAAGACCAATATTGACTTTAATGAGTTATATCTTCAAGTTCACTTGTCTTTTTTAATCCGTTATAGTTGCAATGTTATCAACATTTGAATAGTTTGAACAAAACGAGAAATATAACATTTTGGTATAAAGTTATTCAAAAATTTAAAAGCCAGGCTTAAATAATAATTAATAAAATTGTGTTCTTTGTGATATCGACTAAAGATGGCTGTGCGAAGATGTTACATCTAACAGAACACCCCTAAACTCACATTTGCACCTTACCAAATCAATGACTGGGCAAGTCCAGTTTAAAACTGTAGGGGTGAATGAGTTAACACAATGCTGTAATGGTGTGTTGATTAAGGTACAGTATGTTTTATAAGTTATTCCATTTTTAAAACCATATGCCTAAAATTGAAAGCGTCCAAAAACTTTTATCAAGCATTTAGTGAGGGTTTTAATATGTTTTTAATTGTTTTAAGTAATATATAAGTTTAAAAAATATTATTAGAATTAGAAATAAAGGTTGACATAGCATTGAAATAGCTAGTGGCTCTGAAGTATCGTTAGCTTAACAAACATGTTCAATTTTAATTGCTGGACGAATTGATGTTGGAATTCAAAAGCATCTTATAAGGACAAGAAATATGAAAACAAATGAAGGTTAAGATACGTGTTTTGTACGGACATATATCAATATATGGTCAATTTGATTACTGAATCATAAAACAGATCTTTGTGATAGCCGAATACAAACGAAGCTTTGTCATTATGATAACTGTATATAAATATAACTTTGTAATGTGATTACTGACATTTACTACTAAAGCTTGTTCTGGGTGATACCTGAATACAAATAGAACTTTGTTAATATGATCAATATACCTGCATACTAATACTACTTTGTCAGTATAATAAATGAACACAAACACAACCGGATTTTTTTTTTTACTATAACTTGTTGTAAATCTTGGGATAATTAAACAAATCATTGTGAATGAACTGTTGTCGTTAATGGTTGTGAAAAGTGTCTTTGTTGCTTGCAATAAAGCACAATGACAAGACCACAGAAAATGGTTGATTGACTGAACACTAGTATATCTATAACGGAGCCATGATCTTCTCTATATTGCTCTCTGTAGACAACCCCGTGACATTTTGAAGTTCTGTGATAAAACTTATTACACTGGTAAGGTTGGAGATACTTGTTTAATTAGTGTCAAACTTTATCATTTACCATAATGTTGTCAAAATACCAATTCACCTACACTCTGGTACATGTTTCCCATCTTTGGTTTTTTGAAATTGGACAGGGGGACATTAAATAGTTTATACACGGTCATTTATTCTTGTTGAATTGTAGAGGTTATTGACCAGGCGAATCTAAGCAGTGAGCACGGATTGACCGTGGTCATCGGCCCCTTCTACACCAACATGGCCATGATCCTCCAGATGAACGGCATTCCCTATGTCGTCACAGACTACAAGGGCTTTGATTGGATAGACAGCAATCGCGTCACGGACTCCGTCCAATGGCACTCAGTGGTAGAAATGAGACCTGCTGCAGCAGAGATCAATCTGGCTATCGTTGATATATGTAGGGCACATAACTGGACGAGTGTCGTGGTCGTTTTGCCAGATAACCCCAGGGAGAACCAAGGTCAGTTTCACGTTCCTTCATCAATCTTTAGAAAGCAGCAATCCCGCTTAAATAGAAACAACTACTACAGCAGGAAATTTAACTTATTTGTAAAGTTACCAGTTGTAATGATAGCTACAGTGCAAAATGAAGGTCGCATATGGCCTAAATATATTAACATTAATGAAATTATGTAAACAAAGTACTTCAAAACTGATGCAGGTAATCAAAAATGTAATTTTTTCTTTTTAGAATGCAAAGACTTGGTTAACCAAATGATCCAGAGCCATATTTCACCAATACCGTACGCCCTCAGTCTCGGAAACACAGCCAAGACAAGTGAACAGACGCAAGATGTTCTCCGAAACGCACAGATGTTAGAACAGCGCGTGGTACTCACGTGCAGTCCAAGGGACGAAAAAGACAAGCTTATTGAAACAGTTTTACATGAGGTTTGTTAAATATGTTTTTAATTGGAAAAAACAAATTGTTTTGAATTTAATAACCATTTTAAAATGCGAAAGAATATCAGTTGATAACTAGTTCACGGTATTGATATTACGCTGTCTTAGTTAGCTGCTTGCATTAAGTTTCAACAGACACATCAGTTTACGGTAAAATAAAACAGATATGAATCACAATTTCATTTATACCCAGTTGAGGGCTGTAATACAAAATAGAAAATTTGCCAGAAATATACATGTACATCTCAACTTGGAAGTTACAAAGCAAGGGAGATAACTGATAACTTTTATTTTCAAGAAATTTGAACTTTTATTGTTTTACCATATAAAAAATACTTCACTGTATTTATAATTATTTCTTGAAATAGGTGCTGTGATAGCAAACCGTATAAGTATCATTTTTTCAGTTTTGTTTAAACAAAAACAAGAAGTGTTGAATATTACACCACAATTGGTGAAAGCTAAAACGGAAAAAATATCTTGCTTTGGAAAGCTCTATCAAATATTCAGGCAAGCAATAAATATTGTGCTGCTTAATTATGCAGCGCAAGTTTCATTCTGCCCTCTCTTTTTCTACAGGCAATGACCTTTGGTCTTCTGGAAGATGATCAAAATGTGTTCATCCTCCTTGATACGGTAAGTGTTTTGTACACAAAAAAAACCAGGATGAGTGTTAAGAAAGCTGTATTAGGGCACAGAAATGGGATGAGAATGGAAACGGTTAGTAAGTAATGACTTATGAATTGGGCAAAACAAATGATTCGATATTTATAAGAATGGCAAGCCTTAACCGTACCATTGAAGAATGGTCACTGATTGGAGCCAGAGGGCATTACCACAGAACAGGGATAGAGAGCTCTGTCATCAACCAAGTATATAAGAGGACAGCTAGGGGTCATTGCCGTCGACAAGATAAGAGTATAAGAGAAGCAAGTTCTTTAAAACAATTAAGAGAGGGAGAGTTGGAGAGCTATATCATAAAAATTGGTAGGAATGGCGATCTTGCATGTAATTCAATAGAACAGGAACAAGAGGGGGAAATAGAGGGCACTATCATCAAACTAAAATAGCAAGATAGCTAGAAGTTAATACCATGAAACAATGATAAGATTAATAATGAGGTCATTATCACAAGAGATGGATATGAGGATAGCTAGAAAGGTTAATACCATGAAACAAGGATAAGATTATATATGAGGTCATTATCACAAGACATGGGTATGGGGATAGCTAGAAAACCGTTTCCACAAAGCAGTTTTTATAGTTACAGGGTTTTAGCATGATCAGGATAAGATGACCGCGAGGGGCAATAGGATACAACAAGGAATGAACAGTGAAGAGAGCTAAACATTTCACCCTGAAATATATATTAATATAAAGAGAGATTGATCACTTTGACAGTAACTATCCATTATAGTATTAAACATTAAAGGTATATCTGCACAGCTTTTCATTTGATAACACATTATTCTATCTTTTTATCAAGTCCATGTACCTTGAACCACTCAAAGAAATGAACATGTACAGGAAGGGGTTATATGCCGCCAGGTGTCGCCTGTATGCCTTCCGGTACACATTAAATAAGGTCAACTTGACCAGCAGTCAAGAGGCCACAATCACTGACGCCGCTGAGCTGGTCAACAGAGCCCAAACTCGTTACCTCCAAATGTCTGATGGTTACTTTGATCCAGACTTCTCCAAAAAGGACTTCCTGGAAGCGTTGCGCCAGGTACTCACACCAGGGCAAAGTTCGTTTGATGAGCACCAATATTGTAATTTGCAAGTCCAACTTTTTATAAAGAGAAAACATTTAATAATTTTCAGCTCAAACTTTCTCCAAATCGAATGCATGACATTTCGGCCTATTTTATAAGAAGGTTATTTTCTCTCTTAATTCATCGTTTCATAGTTCCAGCTTTTACCGTCATTCTGATATTTGAGTAAAATAACAATATACAATGTTATGATAATATAATATACTATTTTACGTGTATATACCATTGCGTCAATTCACAACTGTCTAAGCTACGAGTTTCTGAACTCTATGTTGTTTAAGATGGAGATGGTGTTTAGTCTTTCTGTATTCACTACAGGTAACCTTCGACTCCCCAATGACTGGTCACGTGCAGTTTAACGACGAAGGAAAGCGCGTGAATTATACATTACTGCTCGTTAATCACGGTGGAATGGGCCTTTTTCACAAGGCAAGTAAGACATCATTGTAGTGTCTAAAAATGTATATATATGTAAAACACGTTCGGACAGTTTATACTTGTCATTAATATTTAAGCATGCATACTCCTAATGCAATACGAGTGATTCCAATTAGATCAATCCATTTGCTTTCAAAAGCAATAATTTTAATACTAATAACAAATGAAAATATATTCATAACATCAATGGCGACAATAGCAAAATTAGGATACTCGTGAAAATACACATTAACCACTCTGCTATTTTACTTCTTCTGTCGTTGGTCGGCCGACTAGGTTGGAGAATGGAATCCAAATGGCTCGAGCGTCCAGGACCGATTACGATTGTTTCCGTCGAGTCGAGGCATTGACGACGACCAGGGTAGCATCTTCGACAACGTCCTCAAAGTCGTCGTCGTCATTGTGAGTATTTCTTAAATACACACTTATATGTACATTGTATATATAAATATTTGGGCATTTTGCAGAAACCAAGGACACCTGCTTTGATGAAGGGGGTATTTCATTGACCTTTCAGGTTACGCCGTAGCTTTGTGTCGTCGGTTTTCTTAAATATCATGACATGTCAGGGTCGATCGGGTCATTGACGGCATTACAATCGCCAATCGGGCTCCACATGCAAATGAGTAAGTTGCGGTCAGTATATTGAGATTATACGAATGCAGATTCGCAATATTTAGATTCACCGGTCAAATACTAAAAGAATCAAGGAACGTTAACTATATGCAACGTGAAAAAGTTAGAAGTTTAGAATGATGGAGTTGCAAGGATCTCCAGCAAAAAGTAGGATTTTTGAAGTTCATATTTGATTGATGCCTGTTACCACCCATTACGTATTGTTTGCAGGAGGAACCGTTTGTCATTCGTCGGGAAGGCCGGAATGGCCATAGTTACGAGGGAAACGATCGCTACGAAGGGTTCACCATCGACATCCTCAAGGAATTGGCTAAGGTCCTCCAGTTAAAGTACGAGATTTACGAGAGTCCAAATAACGTTTACGGATCGGAAAACGCTAACGGCTCGTGGAACGGCATGGTTGAGGAGGTACTTAGTGGGGTAAGCTGAAACGGACAGCGTGCATTTTACTTTTTTTTATCTATCTACCAAGAAATATTGAGAAAGTTCAAAGAAAATCAGTTGTTTGGGGGAAATCATAAGTAGACATCGGTTTTACAGTAGCCGTAAATGTAATACGACTGTTTCTGTGACTTGTTAATTTTAAATCTTAATAAATGCATATCTTCCAGAAACGTTATGCTGGAAATTCCCTTCCCAAACAGTTTCAGATACTCGGAAGTTCCACTTTATTGGTCAGGTTAAAACTGCCTGATCTTTTGACAACTTAGTATTTTGACAACTTAGTTGTATCTATGTGCCTTATGGATACGCGTTCCTTTGTAGAGAGCCAATCTAGGAATGGGCGCCATTTCCATCACGTCATCGAGGGAGAAGGTGATTGATTTTAGTCTTGGAGTAATCAGCACAGGCGTAAACATGCTAATCAAGAAACCCAAGGAGGCAAAGAACATTTTCCAGTTCATGGAGCCGTTCTCTTTGTTCTTGTGGTTGGCCATTGTAGGCGCCTCTATCATTGTTTCTATCATTCTGTTCGTCCTCGACTACACCAACCCCGAGCGGCAGTTCACGGTCAAAGAAACCTTGTGGTTTTCAATCGGCACACTGCTCATGCGTGGAACGGACTTCTCACCACGTCCGACATCACAGAGAATCATCACGGCTGGGTTCACGTTCTTCGTTCTCATCACCGTCACTACGTATACAGCAAACATGGCAGCCTTTCTCACAACGACCAACCTGGAACAGCCTGTTACGTCACTGGAAGAGCTCGCGGAGAGGAGCGACATCGAGTGTGGCACCATTGACAAATCTGCCACAATGAAATTCCTACAAGATGGCAGTAAGTCGGTGTATAGAGAAATCTGGAAGAAGATCCGTCAATCTGATCACGGATTGGTGCAAAACTCCACTGTGGGCAGGCAACGAGTGGAACAGGGTCATTATGCGTTCATATTTGATTACCTGATCAATTTATATTCGGAGAAAAACTACTGCGAGACCAAAATGGTGGGCATACCTGTCCGATTACAGGAACATGGGATTGTGATGCCAGCCGGGGCCTCCTTCAAAACTAGAATCAATATCGGCCTCGTACAACTCAATGAGAGAAATTTTATTCAAGACATGCAGAAAAAGTAAGCAACGTAACAGTAATTTTCAACTTTTGCACAACTGAATTGTTTATGATGTTCGTTATAAATTCAATAAAAATAAATCATGTTTAAGAAAAGTATTACAACATTACAGAACGGTGCGGAGTTCATAATAGTGTTTCTTAAATTACCTTTACTGTTAATAGGACGTTAATAAAAGTTAAACCAAACCAAATCATAATAGTGTCTTCGAAAATCATATATATGTGGCAAAGAAGTAAGGATCCAGTGTTATATGGTATTTTTACCGTCTATATTACTTCTTTGACCCATATACATATATACATATACTATTTGAATAATCGCGGGGTAATCTGCAATGTGTAAGAATAGCTTGCAATTCTTGTATTGTTTTTGTATTGTTCTACGACTATGGAATCATTAAGGGCCAAACAACACTGTAAAAATAGACGCTCGTCAATTCTTTTAAAACAATCATTAAAAATAAATCTTAAAGCTTTCCCTTGAAATGTTTTTTACGTTGAAAGTCAACATAATAACATTATTTAACACCCAATAAATCACTTTTTCCGAATTTACGTAAAACTAGTGATATTAATGAATGGGGTGTTCTTTGTAGAATAATAACAGAACGTTTTGTTTTCAAGACATTTGATGCCCTGCAGGTAGGGCGTAAGAATTGTACCTGCTGCCCCCAATTGCATGATCGTAAGAGGCGACTAAATTTGGGACCTTATCTCTTCTCTCCTTTCTAAATAACTTTCTTTTTCCTAATGTCTCCCTTGACAATGCCTCACTTTTGGCCATTTGTTGAGCGTTCGCCCCTGTGAGGAAGGCTTTGGGTTCTGTCCCCTGGCCGAGACATACCAAAGTCTTTAAAAATGGCAGTTTCTACTCCTGCTTAACGCTCAGCAAATTAGGAGTGGGACGACTGGTTCGCCCGTTGTCAGTATAATGTGACCGGGTGGGGCGTCCTGCTGGGTGTCGTCGGCAGTATGTTTCAGTGAGGTAGCACTATAAAGTCGGCATCAGTTCCGCGCTATTACAAGAAGACAAACACGAACATATCGCAGCCTCCCAAAATACACACACATACACTACACGCATGCATCTTGCACACAGGAGAGGCCGTCCTTAAATGACCTTAGCTGTTAATAGGACGTTAAACAAAATCAAACAAACAAACAAACAATCAAGACATTTGAGATCCAGATATATATTTACCTTTCTTTTGTTGTCCTTATTTGTTTACGCTAAGCTTAATCTTTCAAACGTTTTATTCTATGATAACAGGTGGTGGGACAACAAGCGTAAGTGTGACAACGGAAAGTCCGGTCGTTCGTCCACGCAGGTCGAGTTTTCCATCAGCCATATGGCGGGTGTCTTCATCGTTGGCGGTTTCGGCATGGCTTGCTCCGTGGCTTTTTTCCTCTTCAAGAAGTTTTACGTGCTTGCCAGGAATGACGAGGAGAAAGACAAGATGCCAGAGAGTGTTTTACTGGACAGTTCACAAAAAATACCAGGAGACATGTTATAGAATCGTCAAAACAATGGAGGAGGAATGTTTTGCAATAGATCAACAGCTCAGGAACATTGATAAGGTTTGGATAGCCCGAGATTCCTCTGGCCCTGAGAGGTATATATATATATGATGTACTTAATTATGTGACTAAGAGAAGTATATATATCTATGATGAACTTAATTATGTGACTAAGAGAGGTGTATATATCTATGATGTACTTAATTATGTGACTAAGAGAGGTATATATATCTATGATGTACTTAATTATGTGACTAAGAGAGGTGTATATATCTATGATGTACTTAATTATGTGACTAAGAGAGGTATATATATATATGATGTACTTAATTATGTGACTAAGAGAGGTGTATATATCTATGATGTACTTAATTATGTGACTAAGAGAGGTATATATATCAATAGTGTGTATTTCATTGTCAGACTACGAGAGGTGTATATATAATAATAATAATAATAATAATAATATACAACATTTATATAGCGCCCTATATAATTTGTAAATTTCGCTTTACAACAGATGGAAATCTTTGGTGTTCATCATTTGTGAACCATATTTTTTGACTACGTGAGGTGTATGCATCTTATGCCTACCATATTTGTACACAAAACGAGATATGTTTCGGTGATGTATTTAAACATGGTTTGTTACTGTAAGAGTAATATTTTTCACGAAGTTTCTAATTTTCGCGATTTTCATGGTTACAATTTCTCTGCGAAAAATGCGCTTGTAACAATTAAATAAATCCCTACCGTAGCACTTTGTGCCTTGCTCACTTGGCCAGAAATACTCGAGAAATAGATCTGCAAATTTCACCATTGTAGCAAATCTGCGAAAATTACGGACCATGAAAAAAATTACACTGCTCTTTATAATATTGTGATTAGTTTTTCAAGGTAGACAAAAATGACTAACGGACAATAGACTGCAGATTAACATCTTCACTAAATTTAACTGGCTAGTACGACACTATATCCAAGTACAGGCGTCGATATTTATTGTTTTTTGCATACAAACAGATGAACTTCTATGGATCAAACATGCAAATTAACACAGTTCAAACAAACAAGTTTGTAACTATATATACCATATATATTATATGTGCATAATTTATTACTAAAGTAAGTTGCAAGCAAACTTCCTCGGTTCAAAAGACATTTTAATGAAGACACAAAATTCATGCAAATTGTTAAATGGTAATATCCTTTGTAAATTTTGCATGTTTTCATGATATAACTGTTTTTTTCTTCAGAAATACAATTTCCTAATGTCGAAGTTGTAAATACAATTAAAAAAGAAATATACTTTTTTGTTTCAGTTCTTACAAAGACGATAATTGCTAGTCAGGATCTTTCTCTCTCTCTCTCTCTCTCTCTCTCTCTCTCTCTCTCTCTCTCTCTCTGATTTTTGAGAATTTTGTCTGAGTGACTTTCATTATGTAAAATGCCATGTTATCCTGGTACTGTTACTTATCTAATGTTTTTTAAAATGACATGAAATAACATGATTTTAATATTCCCCCGCTGTGGGGGATATATGGATTTGTAAAGGAATAAATGACAATAAAATCATTGTGTTCGTTCTGTAAGAGGTATTGTCTTGTATGGTATCCAAGAGAGTTATTTCTAAGGGAGATAATCCTAATTAACAAAGAAATAAAAAATAGATATTAAAAAATAATCATTAGGCATTTTCATAAAAAGGGCCTTATTGGCACCCATTCTTTTGGAAATACAACAACACATACCGTATACAGTAAAATATTTATTAAAAATTGAAACGTTTGACAAAAACAATATAATAAATAAAACATAACAAAATCAACAACTTCAATATGCATTAAACGCATGCAAATGATATCTCGAGTAAAGACAATAATTTCAATATACAATACATTAGATTGTTTTTCATCTGGATACAAGTCTGTATATTATTGATGGGCTATGTTCTTTGTGTCGTACTATAATATGACATAATTGTGTTCTAGACAATGCCACCATGGAAACAGGATCGTGTTGTAAATAAGACATTGAACCATGTAAAATACTTTAGTAGATTACTGACTCCCTGGAACAGGTGTAATTTCCATGTTTTCCCGCCGTGTGATGCATACTACCACGAGGTGTTACGTCACTCAACTAGAGGTTGTTCCGATGAAGCATGTATTTCCCAAATTAGTAGAACTACATCAATTAACCAGAGGTGTTTCGAAGTAACATTTATTGCCCCAATTGATAGAGTTACGTCACTCAAACATGTGTTCCATTACGGCGTAGCTGCCTTAGAAAATGATGCAAATCACTCTTTTTTAGCGGTCAATCGACTTCTACCGTCCAGTCGCTCGGACACTCTCCGTACTGCAAACGCAAATCAAATACATTAGCATATCTTTAAAACAATTGGATAAATATCTATTCAAAAGAACTTATTAATATTTTACCATGTGACAATGTACACACTTGATAAGTATCTCAAACCTAAAACACCTAAAGATATTTCGACATTACAATCTTGATATTCTTGAAGTCAGTGGGATAAAGTTAATTCTTCCCCTGTTGTCCATGATTTATGGGTTAATTCTGATGAAGTTTATGTTTTAAATCATTTGGACATAACAAGAAACGGCCCAAGGGAAGATAGCTCACCCAGAGAAGAGGAGATTTATTGATTTTATTTCTCGTTGTTTTGTCTTTTCGGGGCGAAAAGACGAACGAACTAGAGTTAAGACTAGTTACCTACCTGTATGGCAGTGAGATGTCCGAACAACCTCGTGGCCAGCTCTTGTTGATCGGATACGTTGTACCACTGACCACTGTACTTAATCTTGCCGACCGGACAGATGGACACTGCTGTACCGGAACCAAACATCTCTATCACCTACAAAGATCAACGGAAACACTAATACTCGCTTTATATTAGGTCTGGTCTATTGGTCTGTTTTGTTTAACGTCCCATCAACAGCCAAGGTCATTTAAGGGCGTGTCTCCGTGTGTGTTGAGTATGCGTATTGGTGTGTGTGTGCAGGAGACAAGGTATGTTGGTGTATTTGCCTCCTTGTTATAGTGCTACCTCACTGAAATACCATGCCGAAGGCACCCAGCACAGCAGTCTGCCTGGTCACAGCTTTACATAATATTTCCGCAATTTTGTACACAATTTATTGAAAATCATATTTTGTTCCACTACCAAAAACTGTGACTATCCCTGAGAACTTTTTGTCGACACGACTGTATCTTTGATAAATAAATTCTGAAGAGAAACCCATACCTTGCGCAACATAAATGAAACCTTTGAAGATGAAATAATAATACTAAATCGACAATAGTGCTTTGAGTGTAAAAAAAAGAATGGAATTCGAACCATGGACCGCCATTAATTATACTCTCCGACGTTCTGACCATCCAGATTCTGTTGCACTTCAGTTATATCCAGACCGAAATTGAGTGGAGATAATTGTATACACGAAAAAATACATTAGAATTCTTTTGTGATTTTATTGCATTTGAATAACGACCCTTAGTTTTTGGATACAAAGTGTCCTTGCTAACGGGCTCTACTTACTCTGTTTTCTTTTATTCCATCCAACAATTCTTTCATCGTAATCGATCGCTCTGTCACCTTGAACTCATCCTTTAATAGAAAAACAAAAATATAAACATGAATGCATTTGTGCTATTATAGATCAATCTAAAATAGCCAAAATGATATGACTTGACATAAAACGTGATAAGAAATGAAATATAATTTGATATACCAAAGTACAGTAAAGACTAAGTTTACTTTAAACACAAACAGGAATTGAGAACTTATTTTGCGAGCTTTCGAAAACGTCTGCTTCCTTTGTCAAGCAAAGAGTGTAAATGACCGGTCTCTCGACTCTAAACCGCTGAAAACAACTCACTAAGCCTCAGTGGGCCGAAACAAGTAAAGTCAGTTGTCAAAACGCATAGAGACATTTCGCCCAATTGCACTCTTATACTGCAGGTAGTCAGGGGAACGGGTAACATGTTGACCCATTCTGCCCCTTAGTGGGTGTTAACAAGAGCACCGCAAACGGATGCATAATGTGCCCGTCTGACCCTATCCAATGAGTTTTTGTTGTTAAATTTAATCCATATTGTCCTTCTTAGAACCCACATGAACATCCATGCCCAAAATTAGGACAATAACACATGATCTGACTGAACTGTACACCACTGAAGAAGCTTGCACCAAAACTTTAACCGAGAGGTTGCACGAGAAAATTTAAGTCCCAAACACGTCCTAAATTTCCATAAATAGCATTTATTTTCCCAAATTAAATCCATATTGTCATTGATAGACCCACATGAACATCCATGCCAAAATTTAGGACAATAACACATGATCTGAAGAAACTTGCACCAAAACTTTAACCGAGAAATTGCGCGAGAAAATTTAACTCCCAAACACGTCCAAAATTAACAAAAATATGGATTCATTGTCCTTGTTAGACCCCACATGAACATCCATGCCAAAAATTAGGACAATAACACATGATCTGACTGAACTGTAGACCACTGTAGAAACTTGCACCTAAACTTTAACAGGACGGACGGCCGGCCGCAAACGCGTTTCGAATTTCGACGGGCGTATAAAAAGGGGTCATAAAGATGACTCAGCAGATGGCCCCCTTCGTCTCTGTATTTCTTATTCCGAACAAAGTACAGTAGTTTTTGAAAAAATTGTCTACTACATACGGGTACTACTTGTGGTACTCACCCATTGGTTAGCGATGTCCATGACAGATTGACGAGTAACCCCCGGCAATATTAGACCATTCAGGGGCGCTGTTACCAACTCTTTCTCTATAAAGAACAACGAAAAAATCAGTTCAAGCTAACACCGAGTGAGTTCTGAGTACAAACGACAAACCTTTTCGTCAGTATAGCGCGCAAACAACAGTCAACATTTGAATCAGAACCGCGCGCCAACAGCAACCAGCATTTGAGTCGGATTTGAGATAAAACAACAACCAACATTTGCGTCAGCTCCGTGCACAAACTCAGGCAACATATGAGTCAGATCCGCAAGTAAACAAACAAATACGCACTTAGTGGTGTGTTTTTTAACGATAAAAAGGCATGTTTTTTACGAGGGTTATCTGATGTTTATCGATTTAATTTTACTTTGAGTGTAAACAAAACAGTCTACTAGCGAGAGTTGCTGTACATGTTGTCCGAGTGCCTTGACGTACCTCCGTCGGGGTTGACCCAGTAAAGGAAAAGGTTCATTGTTCCAGCTTCTGTGATTTCCTCCTCGTCTCCATGCAACCATAGCACCTGTTGACACCCCGCCTGCAGCGCCGCCTTCTGGACTTGTATAGTCGGGGCATAGTTTCTGTGACATCAAAAATCGACATTAATTTGAATTGCACGTATGTTTGATAATTTACTGATTGCAATGCGTAGTATCAAAATGAAATATGAATACCTTGCCAGTGGGTGCAATACTAAACTAGAAAAAACTTCAAGTTGATTTATCTGACAATATTCCAATATCTCTGCAGTGGAACTCTTCTTTGTAATTTTAACTTGTGCACTAGGCACCCTTTTCCTTAATACCATATGATTAACAGTTTTATTTGCTTATAACAAATTAAAACATTGTAGATATAAGAATATAGTCGCTTAATACTTACGATCCCATTTTGTGCATGCCCGAGCCTCCGGGCCAGGCCCTGACGTATTTTGGGTCAGCCAAGAGGGACACGGGTTTCATTCCCGATTTGAAGTAAGGTCCCGCTGGTCCGGCGATAACGTAAAGCAGGCAGGAACTGGGTTTGTCTATTCCCAAGGCAGGCTGTACGGATTAATAAGTGAACAATTTACGTTAGCTAAGGGTTATGCTAATTTTCTAATAATATTTCACTTAGATACTGATCACGTGTTTTATTATAGCATACATGTAGAATGAATTGTATGCAATTACTTATCCGACTTGATGTTGCTTAGAAAATGGTGGCCCAGCTCTCGACCAATCAGCGTCTATCTTTAATGCATAACTGCATGCCTAATTAAAGTGCACCAATATTCATTCATGTGACTTCATTGGAATCCGACCGGTATTTTCTGAGAAAATGTGCGGACAAATTCACGGCGGAAATAAGAAGAAATGATAAAATAAATGCAGGTATAAAGTTTCATTTTAGAACAAGGATCTTCATCTAAAACATTGATTAAAACATGATTTAACCAACAAGCACACCTCTGTTCCAATCATGGTTGGACGTAGATAAACAGAGTAGGGTAGATCTGGGGTAGCCCTAGGGACCCACGACTTGTCCACGCTCAGCAGCTTCATCACACAACCAAGCAGCTCCACGGGGTCAAACGTCTGTACAACAGTGAAACAAAAATCTTAGAAACGTTGAATATAATCCGATATATATAACAATATTTTGACAGTAAAACTTAAGACCTTTCTCTTCGTAGATCTGAAATGTCCTTACTGGAGAGTTCACCCTCTCGGAAGACCCAACGGATTTTCTTACCGAAAGATGTATCTTTTCGGCAGAGTTAACCATTTTGCCCACCATGGTGTCGATCTCAAAAATTAACTAACCAGAAGTCAGATACTTCTGACAGAGCTCATCCTATTATTCACAATAAAACAAGATCTCAGCAGATCTGACAATTATTTTCGTCTTGAAATCGATTTAAAACTCACCGGAAGTCCAGCTCTTTCTGCGGATCTGACCATCCGGTCCATGTTGTCCATTGGCCGGAAAAGTCGGACCTTGTCATCATAACCACGAAACGCCTTCATTCCCTCAAATACCTGTAGATTTAAAAATATAAGTACTGCTACTCCACTAAAACTTGTGTATCTACTACTAATGTAAGACAATGGCACACGGTCATCGTTTCGACGTTTTATAACTATGTTGATTTTTTTCCAAATAATATTGTGAGTAAATAGGCAAGCAAGCTTAGCAAAACACATTCTGTTGGCAAACGTAAAACGGTTGTCCAATATTTTAATCATGTGAAAATAGTAGTTGACTTAGCTTACATCATTCTCGAAATTCCAGGGGTTTCGCTCACTCACGTTCTCTTCGCCCCTAGAACATGTCATGACAATATTAAAGGCACGCGGTTACCTACATCAAATAAAAGTGGCGTGTGCAGAGCCTTCGAGTTTGTCATGACATATTCTCGGGGTACAGAGAACGTGAGTGAGCGAAACCCCTGGAATTTCGAGGATGGTGTAAGCTAAGTCAAATACTATTTTTATATTACCAAAAAAGACATGGGGATTTGGTTAACTACACAAAATTTAAAGAGAACAGATTGGACTGGATATGATTTTATTTGATCCGTATTTATACCTGTGTACAGTACTGGAGGGTTTTAGCCGCCGGATGGAGGGAGAGATTCTTTAGCGGAGATATGACAGGTGTTGACCAATTGCCTTCCCATTCCACGGTCAGCATGTGATCGGTGAAGGCGGTGCCGAAGCTCAGCGTGTCCCGGTCCGGTTTTGGCTGGGGATTGCGGGTCCTATACACCATGGTATCTCTAGCCTGTAGGTATAAAACAGAATCAAGTGTCATTTCGACTCTAATTATGTATGGGCATGCACAAATGCATCAACACGACATAGTATAACAGTGAAAAGTAATTCAGTAAAACTATTTCATATATTTTTTGTGGCTTCCGAATTGTGCTCAGATTGCAATGCAATTTCCTTCGACTTCGTGCAAGGTCAACTACCGGCAGCACCTCAGGTCAAATGTTTCTGCCTATATCATAGCTGTGTTATATGAAATTGCTCTAAACAATGTTGTATATGATAATATATTTATAATACATTTCCTTATATTTTCTATAATATTCATGACAGTTGCATAGCAAATCATTTTTTGGAGTGTATGCTCACAGGGGGGCGAGTCCTCCCTCCAGTAGCTGAAAAAACCCGATTCTGTTCGGCCTTAGGCCCTCTCGTATTCTGGGTAATTAACAAGCAAAACCCGACATTTTGTGTGAATATTATTAAATTTTGTACTTCACTTTGTAGTTTTTGATTTACATGAACCTTCGATATTTTTCAATGGGTATAGACTTAACAACACTATTTTACCACACTAAACTTTTCAAGGTTGGTTTTTATTCTTTTTCAAGATTGGTTTTTATTCTTAACATTTTATGATTGATACGGACGGTCGCTATCAATCAAAAAAAAAAAAAAAAAAAAAAAAAAAAAAAAAAAAAAAAAAAAAAAAAAAAAAAAAAAAAAAAAAAAAAAAAAAAAAAAAAAAAAAAAAAAAAAAAAAAAAAAAAAAAAAAAAAAAAAAAAAAAAAAAAAAAAAAAAAAAAAAAAAAAAAAAAAAAAAAAAAAAAAAAAAAAAAAAAAAAAAAAAAAAAAAAAAAAAAAAAAAAAAAAAAAAAAAAAAAAAAAAAAAAAAAAAAAAAAAAAAAAAAAAAAAAAAAAAAAAAAAAAAAAAGATTGAAAAAATATCGCAAAATTTTAGTGTATGCTTGAGCGTACAAGCAAACATGTTTGCTACGGCACTGAATGAAAAAAAAATCCGCAGTTTCAACAATCGGCGTTACGCTTTATATGTTGCTGATCAGTGGAGGTAAAAGGTTAAATGTGGTTACCGCAGCTATATAACAAATGACACAAAATATTTAAAAAAATATTTGGATTGTGAGCTATATGATCCTCGCAGCTATAGATAGAGGATATTTGATAATACGTACCTAAGGGACCTGAGAATTTGTTGCAAATAAACCCCTAAAACGTATTAAATTACTCCGAACACCTTAGTTTAGGTCAAAATATAGCTGTAAAAAATGCACAGGTCTCTAGTTGTGATACGTACTACGAGTTTATCAGAATACTATGTATTTTGACGAGTGCGATATTAGTTCAGTAAATAACTTAGTTTATGTATACAAAGGTGAACCAAAACAACCATTAATACTAACATATATGGCAATCTTTGATATTTTTTACTACGCATATATACCGACACATGGATGTTTTTTCTCTCTTTTGTGCAAGGCAATTACTTCCAAGAGTTATCGTTCCTGTTCCAAACGCATACACTATACGACGATTGCGTCATCTCCTATAAACATCAACTGGATTTCGGTAACCGGCAAATTTTGAATATTACTTGGAGTGATGGATCTGCGTGATTAACCCATAAGATTCGTCGTATCATATATTTCATCAGACACATTTAAGTGAATAAAATATGCCTGAGAAATATAACATCTTATAGTATACGTATAAAGTAATACAATACAGACGCTAGCTGAAGTACTCCATAAACAACGTGTTATTTTTATGCAAGTTTCAGGATCTAAATATTGTAACAACTAAATAGATATCCGGTTATTTTGAATAAAAATGTGTTTATCCCTTTTACAAAATAAAACGTTTTTAAAATTTGAACTTTATAACTGCAACTATAAAACAACTTTTCCATGGAAATCTACAGACCGCGTGCGTCCTTGCCGAGTCACGGGTCCCCGAGCCGGATGTTACTTAACTTAACTTCATTATCTATATACACACTCGTGTTTCAACACGGATATCGTGTTACATTAAAATTCTTAGAAAGCTAAGTCACGATTTTGTAATGACATTTAAATTATAGCCACTTAAATATTTTTTTCAGTAATTCTATATATACCGGTATAATTATCTTGTTCAAGGAAGTAAATGCAGTGCATGTCGGCATGAATTTGTGCCGACAGCTTGCTATATAAAAATAGTATGAATAAATTAAAGTATGTATATGGCCGGGTTGACATGGGGTGGGCTTGTAGTGGGGGCAACGGAACGAAATGAGAAGCGCGAAACAATTTTTGTATTGTATTTTATTTCTTCCGATTGTATTCTGCATTAAGTATTGTTATCATTGCTGTTTAAATAAACCGACGTGTAATTAGTTAACTCATTAATTTGTGCAGCTTATTATAAGGAAGGGATATCGCCGATCGCTGCGGTTGATGCCCAAACTCTGTTGTATTCTGTTTGCTAAATAAGATAAAATTTGAATATATTTAACCGACTCACGGTTTCCTTTTAACGAGGGAAAAGGATCAATGTAAATTTTCTTAAAAACCTTTTCATGTAATAATATATTAATTTACATCTCTTTGCATACGTGTAGAATCATGAATTATTATATTGATTATAGTAAACTGCAAAGTTTAGAGACCAGAGATAAGTTTAAGCTTTAATTCATTTCAATAGTTTACTGCATGGGTCTGCAAATGACACAAAACATAGATATAAGCGCAACAATGTAAGTATGGAAAGATCGAGAAAGAATGACGCCATGATAGACTATAAGTAAATCAAGTAAACAAAATCTTACTTGGAACGAACGAACATCAGATATCGGATCTTCCTGCTGGTGTGGTTTTGTTTGTGTTCCAACACAACGGGAAACAGTTGATAATTGATTTAGTTTCCGTAAAGAAACGAAGAGGGATTTTCTTACTGTATCCATAACTATTTTTCTAAATGTTCTACTTCTGCTTTACAGTGACGAAATATATACAACAGGTCGGCGTTTGTTTACAAATATTCCGCATGGAAATAGCTCTTATACGTGTGGTATTAACGGAGGTTCATAATCATACCGCGTTGAGCGTTTTCATTGGATAAAAACCACTGCGTCACTGACACACCTCCAGCGCTGAGCACTCACGTGACCTGACACACCCCCTACAGATGTTGACCCGTATTAGGAAATCGCTCTGCATATGTTTACATATAAATCTATCGAGTAGGTATGTGTAAACATACGTCATTCAGACATGCTTGGTAATACAGAGACGTGTTCTGTTATTATTCTGGGTAGTTAACAGCTTTAGAATGTATATATACACATGTATACACATTAACAAATGTATAGAACACATGTCGGCATTCCCCTGGCAAAAGTCTAAAAATAACTTGAGATACAAGTGCAGTATTATATACAAACTTCAAATTCATGGAAAAATATCTTAAGTTGTTTGTTTATAGAAAGAATTAAGTAAGACACAATTAACTAACTTATTGGAACTTATTCCGTCTTTGCGTATTGCAGGGTTACCTGGTCTTGTGAGCAGGTATTGATTGTTATGTCATTTGTTTGTGAGAGTAACGTCATCAATTTTAGAGAAAACGACGTAATTTTCTCACACAAACCAATGACGTAGCAATCAATACCTGCTCACAAGAGAAGATAACTCTGCAATACGCAAAGACGGAATAAATATAAACGTATTTCTCCGCACATTCATTGACAATTACGTAAGTGATAATTACAATGCAATATTAGATTATCAATATCGTCGGGAAGGAAGAACGTGAATACTTGTTTATCAATCAAATTAACGTCTTTTGTTATTGTATTTAAGTTGATTGGCACGAATAAATTGGTTTAAACTAAATTATCTACAATTCCAAATCAAATTTATTGCGGCTGGGTTTTATACTTTTCTTCAAATGTCTCAAAATGTTTGTATTAAAGCCCACTACTAGCTGTAAATTTCCAAAACAAAATTACTTCCAAATGAATTAAACTACACGTACAATGATCGTAATTAAATGAGAAAAACAGATTTTTTTTCCAGAAATTACTTTTCTTGCTTACATTTTTTTTTAATTAAGCCTAAATGTAAGTTAGTTTATGATTTAGCCTAACTCACCAAGCGTCGGTATTCCGTATATGTTTCAATGCATTATTTATATAACTTTCAGTTTTTGTACTAGCAGGCCGGAATGAAGGGTTATCAACTAAGTTCAAATGAATGACCTTGACCAACTTTCAATGTCACATGGGTAAAACTTTTTGAAAGCCTTAAGCAGCTGCTAAAAAACCAACAAAGACGCCTACAGTCATGGTGTTTGGCCAGTAGCATGCTTGGATGAAGGATTATAAAGCCTGTTCACATGAATGACTTTGACCAACTGACCTTAGGTCAAAATCTAGTTTGTTCAAACGAATAATATTGGTCTACTTTTTATCTTACAGGTCTCATGTGAGAAAATGTTAAATAACTTTTTTTAAAGAGCCTTAAGGAGTAGTACCATTTTTGCCTATTTTTTTGTTAAATAAATGACCTTGACCAACCAAATGTCCAAAGATCAAAGTAGTTATAATCGTCCCAAAAAGATCCGTATTCAATTATATAGATATTAATATCTAATCATTAGTGTTTAGATGCGTGTTGTAAATACATTTGATATTGACCTGCTTTAAATGTCACAGATGTGAGATGTGTTCGCAAAAAGCATAAAAGTGCAAAGCAATCGATAAAGGCCCAATAGGTATTTATCTACATTCGAACATTCTTAGAATAAGTAAGGTATCTTAATCTGTTTGTTTGTTTGAGTGATTTTACATCCGGATCACTACCGAGCAGACGACAATCTTGATCTGCAGCGGTTCTTGGTCATAGCTGTGAACAATCGGGAAACGTCGACACTTTCCGTAAACGAGACGGAAAGTGCCGAAAAAATCCGATTTAACAACGAGAATGATGGTAGCCGACATATCTACCAATAGTATCGAAAAGCACAGGTGCGGAATGTGATTGAACTTTAGAAAAGCAGAAGGATATGTGTTTATAGATTAGGTATACTACTTACGCCGACTCCATTAGGAAAATCGCACACGCGATCTCAAGTAAACTCTCCGAATACATATTTTAAAAACTATACGTTGGTGTCCCTAATCCTATCATTACCTCTTTTACTGTAACCCAAGGCCAAGGACGACCTAGTTTAAAATCCCACCGGACAGCAATTAGGGAGGGGGAGGAGGGAGGCGGGGCTTATCTACAGCATGGGTTGCTAGGGCCACATACATACCACACACACTCATAAAAAGGGGATGTAAACAAATCAGAGTCTGAAACCAAATCAATTTTCTCACCTTTTGCACATCTGCAAATCAAGCCTCCTTTACAAAGATGTCCTAAATCATAGGTCCAATATTACAGTGTCATTGTTCATATTATGTTCAATGTAAGCAAATAAGTAAATAATTTACAGGTATAACATATAGTTGATTGTATGCACTCAGTACTGATATAATGATTCTACGAAGCGTTTCCAAATGTTAGTTCTGTAATAGTAGGTTGGTTCCTTGTACACCTTTTTCCCTCTAGAAGACCTCCAAGCATTTGGTACACGGGGTTTTGAAACAGACGTATATTTCCTATCCACATTGTCGTTCCAGTGCAGTACAGCCAACTGTGATCTCACAAGATACTGATCGTCACTAAATGATATCCTCTTATCTTGAAATATGTTCATTACATTATTGAAACTTTCCACATAGAAAGTGTCCCTAACTAAGATGTAATCCTGGGGATATTTGTAGATAACCGAACTTCTTATAACTCCAAGCAACATCTTAGCTGCAACATCATCAAGGACCTGTCTAGAAGGTTCATAATTCGTATCCGTTTTGCACCTGCTGGATTGATGACATCCCGAGTGGTCATTCTGATAATGTGCTACAACATTTGTCAAACTGTTTTTCAATTTGGTTGGATTTCCTCCACTGTTTTTCAGACACCAGTGGACATGGGTCGTTACGGGTTCAATTTTATCTTGAAGTAAAGGGGACCAGATTTTTCCCTTTTTGTATGCTGGACCGGACGACACTGCCTTCAAACCCTTTTTCAACGCCTTGGTTGCATGCCATGGGTCGTTTTGGTTGATAGTGCCAGCATCTCTCACAAGTTTATTTATGGACAGATTCCTGTCATGTGTGTGCACATTGATTGTAATGTCCTTTTCTGTCATTTTTTCATAAAATTTATTTGTCCCAACTTTTTCATGCCTTTGGGATACTGGGTCATCTTTTGTTGTTACATGGATGTGTTCCAGAACTTTGTGAGTTTCATAGCCTATGGCAACTACACTAGAGTCTTTTGCATTTTTTCGCCAGCCGTGTCGAGCATCTGTCATGATGTCAATTCCTTCATCTAGTTGTTCATAGCTAAAACATTCCTCATCCAGCGCATGGGTAATGGACACTTCATATTCATCTAATACATGATTTTTGTATCTATCAAAATATTTTTTTCTTTTGTCTTTTGTCAACTGCCCAAGTCCAGCTCCTTCTGTGAACCTCTTATATTGAATTGGCAAAATACCACTACATTCCATGCCATGAAACACTCTGTAGTTTACAAGAAATTCATTGTCTGGTAAATACGGAGAAGATGACCAAAATATTGAATGGTGTTTGTCTTTAGTACAGGAAAGACGTATGGATGCTGCATGACCTTTAAGAGCTATTTTTTTCATCGCTAGCTTTCCTTCACAGATTTTAGAGTGGTCCCCTGCTACTTCACACAGTCTTGTCACAGAGGATTCTGCTGTCAAGAAAATCTTTTGATCCACATCCTTCTTTTCAGTCTGTTTGAATGTGCAGAAGTTTGGTATTGTATTGTCTTTTTCCTTCTCTTTGTCGTGTAAGTAGTTGTGTAACAAGCTTTCCATAATATCACAGTTATTTACTGGATGTCCCAAATTTCTACAAAGAATATCTCTCACTTTTTGTAATCCATCCAAAATGTTTCTCTTTGCATTCTCATCTCCAGGTATTTCTATCCGAAAATTTGGGGTTTTTTTCCTCGCTTTTTCCATCGTAACACTTTTAGATGTACATACTCAATACTACTGACCACTTGGATAAAGTAAGCTACATTTGTGACTATAGGACTGATCTGTTACCTGTACTTGTATATCTATCTTTACCACATGAGGCTCTATGGGGCTATTTTTATCAATATTGAAATAATCTATAATAAATGTCAAATTACTTAACATTTAATATAAATAATGTATGGCCGTATTGTCAAAATGTGTTCCCCTTAATAAAATATAAGTTTCCTTGCAATAAAGGAAAAAAGTAAGATCATATGGTTTATTTTTTCAATTTCCCCACATGTCACCCCAATTTTGGGAACTTGATATATTGCATAATTCTCCCTCTGGCCATGGGGCAGTATGAATCTCTCACAGTATCAGGTTATCAGCCCCTCACTGAGTTTTCAGCCAGCATGGGGGAAGGAGAAAGATTTTCTGTGACCTTGGTTGTAAATGAGGAACAAAGAAATGCTATTAGCCAACTTTTCCAGGAGAAACATTGGGAATATTCAGAGAAAAATAATGAGGGAGATTGTCAAGAAGAAAGTGCTAGTATGACCCCTGATACAAGTAACCAAGTAACCTGTTCTGGATTTACTATCCCCCAGGATACCGACTCAGATGAATGCCAGTATTGTTTATGCAGACCTTGTATTACAAACGAGAGAAATAAACAACAGTGGTGGGAATTAAGAGAAAATCCCCAAAACAGGAAAAATAACATTCATAGGAAAGAATTATACAAAAGATTTTGGACCATGTTATATCACAGAGGAGCATGGGGTGATCAGCGATATCAGGATAAAAAGAAGCAAGCTCTGGGAATTCAGACAATGGGAGGAGAACCTGTGTGGCATAGGCGGGATATAATGCCAGACTGTGTGATAAAACTGGTCAGATTCTGGTTTCCTAACCCTGATAGTATGGAATATATGGGTCATTTGTGGGAATAGATCTATATTATGTATTTGTTTCGGGGAGTG